GTTCACCATTTCCGCGTTTGTTGTCTCAGATCAACAGTAATGACGACAAAGGGGTCCTGGTGGGAGAGTGGTATGACTTTACTGGAGGCATTCATCCCGGTCAGTGGGTCGGTACCGGGGACATCCTGCGCCAGTGGGCGGAGAGTGGCCCCGTCCGCTATGGACAGTGTTGGGTGTTCGCCGCTGTTGGCTGTACAGGTAGAGGATGAGTCAAACTTTTTCCTGACTGTTAATCCGTCTTTGACGGTCATTCAAAATAATAATTACACAGCCATGATGAAAAGGCATTTCTGTACACTTTGCTTAATTTGTGTGGTCCTTTTTGCTTTTGTAGGTCAAAAGAAATCAATAAGAAAAGAGTCGACATTTTTTAAATCAGTATCAAAAATTTATTTGGGGAGACATAAAGCCATTTCTGAGTAGAATTTTCTGGAAACCAGTGCCCCCCCCAAAAAATATATATATATATTTTTTAATAATATTCCAAGGGTCAGGTCATACAGATGGTTTTCACATATAAAAGTATGTAAGAATATAAAGAGTATTTGTTTTGTTTTGTTTTTTTTAAATCGCTGCTAATGTTTAAGATCACAGGTAGCGGGAGCCTATCCCAGCGAGACACAGGGTACACCCCGCCAAAAAAAGAAAAAAAAAAATCAATAATCGCTGAAAATGAACAGCGTAATGAGGAAAAATAAATCAATAAAAATAGTAAATATGTCGGAATAGGGTGTCCCCCACGCCTTGCACGGAGTCAGCTGGGTTAGGCTTGAACTCACCGCTTATGAAATTAAGACAAAAATAAAAATGTAAAAAGCACATTTCAACAATTGGACAGACGGCCTTTTTTTTATCTTATTTTTTCAGAGGTGATTGCGTCTTTGTAAGAGACTTACGACTTTGTCTATGAAATCACATTATTGCTATAAGAGTGCTAAATGAAAAACATGTCTTTCTTTGACAACATTTGAATGTGTAGTTCATGCACACGCACGCACGCACGCACACACGCATACATAGTAAAGACGGTATCCAATGTTTACCTGCTTCCTCCAGTGTCCCGCGCCCTGGGTATCCCATGTCGGGTGGTCACCAACTTTGGTTCGGCCCATGACAGTAACGCCAACCTCATCATAGAAAACCATTACAATGAAGATGGGGAAATGATTTCTGAAGGGGACTCGGTCTGGTGAGTAACATTACAGCCAGTCATGGTGATGGTGATCATCATCATCATCATTTATAAGCTTCATCTTCATCTCCTCTTGGCAGGAACTTCCATGTTTGGGTGGACAGCTGGATGACTCGTCCAGATTTGGGCAAGGAGTTTGACGGATGGCAAACCAGCGATCCAACACCACAGGAGAAGAGTGACGGTGAGCTCGAGTTTTCATATACAGTACACCCCGACGGCCGCAACGTGAGATACACTTATATAATCGGATGACATCCAATGCAAGAGCTGTAGCAAAAATTCAGCCTTAAAAAATATGATATCTTTTGATTTTAATGACATCAGCAACGTATTCATTTGGCACCATTTTGATTGTAGCGTAAGCCTTTATTGAAACACGAATACAAAACTGTTGGAATGAATCCCTCTGAGATCCGCTTCCGTATATTGTCAGGTGTTTATCGTTGCGGACCGGCTGCACTGAGGGCCATTAAGGAAGGAGAGCTCACCAAAAAATATGATGCCCCTTTTATTTTTGCCGAGGTGAGTTTGATGGTGGATAATACTGATGACAATTAGAAAGAACAAAAATACTTGTTAAGCATAGAAATCAACCAAGCTCAAACAAGTTGATGCAATTTGCATTAAACCTCACCTACGAAATAAGGGTAGCAGTTTGGGTTTGGAGAGAGACTGATGACATACGGCAGTTCTGTGTTGCATTAGGTCAATGCCGACGTGGTGGACTTGATGCGCCTGTCGAACGGAGAGCTCGTCAAGATCAGCGGATCCACGAAATCCGTCGGACGCTTCATCAGCACCAAAGCTGTCGCTTCAGATGAGAGACAGGACATCACAGATGAGTACAAGTATCCTGAAGGTAAACACACGTCTTGTGCATTTTCTTCAATGTACATTAAAGAGCAGCAACTTTGTCAACTTCAAATTCTGTCACTTGATGCTTTAGGTTCCAAGGAGGAGCGGGAAGTGTACAAGAAGGCCCAGCACCACAACAAGCTACAACAACGGGGAGAGGACCCGGGCCTCCAACTCAAGGTTCACCAACCTTGAATTCAACTGGAATTATAATTGGCTCATTTGGTCTGACGGTGGACAAGTGGTTAGCACATCTGCCTCACAATTCTGAGTTTTAGGGGTGAATCTCTCGCTGTCTGTATGATGTTCTGTAAATTCCAAAAGTGTGAATGCGAGTGTGACTGGCTGTTTGTCTGGATGTGCCCTGTGATAGTGTTGCAACCAGACCAGGGCATACACCCTAACTCTAACCCCTAACCCTAACTGCCTTAACCTGAAACCCTAACCTCCAAGCCTAACCCCTAACCCTACCCCCGTAACACCTAACACTAACCCCCTAACTCTAACACCAACCGTAAGCCTAATGCCCTAACCTCCCTAACCCAAACCCTAACCCCTAAACCTGACCCCGAACCCCAAACCCTAGCCCTCACCCCTAACGCGAACAACCTTACCCTAACCCCTAACCCTTACCCCCAAACCTCAACACTAACCCCCTAACCCTAACCCCTGACTCTTAAACCTAAACCTAAACCCAAACCCTAAACCCCAACCCTAAACCCTAACTCCAACACTAACCACAACCCTACCCCCTAACCCCTGAACACTAACCCACTAACCCAAACCCTAACCCCGTGACCCTAACTCTAACTCTAACCCTAACCTTCACCCCTAACCCAAACCCTTTTTCATTTGTTAAGTTGATCCACAATTAACTTAATTTTTTGTGTTTAACAAAATACAATTACTGTACACAGAACTGGCTGACATAAATAATTGATTTGACCTTATAACTAACACAAAAAAAAACAACTTTATTGCAGTATCTGAATAAGAGCAGTGCATTATTGTCCTCGTTCTATCGATGACCCAAACTAAATAATTCTTCTCCTTTTTATTGAAGATCAAGCTGGCAAAAAATATGATCGTGGGTTCAGACTTTGAGGTGTACGCAGTCGTCACCAATAACTGCATGGTGACAAAGACGTGTACGCTCCTCTTCTTTGCCAAAGCTGTGGGTTACAACGGCAGACGAGGAAAGAGCTGTGGATTCACCTCGGACAGACTGGAGGTGCCCGCTGGAGAAGGTGAGAACCTCCTCAATTCACCAAAATGGACACGCATCGTACAAAATAACTCATTGGTTGCCCAGTCATTCAAATTAGATTTTACTTGCATCAAAAAAGGACTTCATAACAATCAGAGATTCTACCATCCCATTAAAAATGTTTAGAAATTAAAAATCAAATAAAATGTCATCCTCTGTAATAGAATTTACAGTAGATTCATGAATGAGGAGTTGACTGATTGTGTTTTTTTTAAGCGAGACGACTGTACCTTAAGTTGGAATATGGCACTTACGGACCGGTGATCACGTCCGATCGACTCATTCAGTTGTCAGCCATCACCATCGACAAGCAAACCGTCGACTACCACAAGGCCGAGAAGACTATAGTACTAGACGAGCCACATGTAGAAATCAAGGTACGGTATTGAAATCTGATGTGGGACATATTCTGCAATTTTTTTTTTACATTTTAAACCAGTTTCCACGTGTCTTCATAAAAGGTCTCTGATATTCTCCTATCAAAATATGAAGGATAAAGAGTAATTACAGACTTAATATCTACTTGTCAGATTCTGGTTCATATCGGTCGGTTTTAGGAGGGTGGTGGGGGGGGCAGTTCCATCTCATGCAGCTGCTGAGTATGATTTTCGTTAAGATATTCGCTACGCCGTTTTGCCAACGCAGCAACCTTGTTACTATATTTAGCAACATTTCCAACATTTATAGCAAACTTAAAAAAAAAAAAAAAAAAAAAGTGACAGGCATTAAATCTAGCTACTTCTCTTGTGGTGTTATCTGAGCCTTCCGGAGGCTGGAGAATGTCGTAATTGCCCATTAAATCTAGCTACTTCTCTTGTGGTGTTATCTGGGCCTTCCGGAGGCTCATTTATTTTCTGTTGCACTGACTAGCCTTTCATTAAACGTGTTTGTGCAGATGCTAGGAGAAGCCATGGTGATGCAGCCAGTGTTGGTGAGGCTGACCATGCTAAACCCGTTACCGGAGGCGCTCCTGGACTGCAGCTTCACTGTTGGGGGCGCTGGCCTCATCGATGGCAAACCCATAACACTCAAGTATGTAGGCTATTGGCGCTTTCTTCTTGACAACATGCATGTTAAGTTCATTGAAAAGTGAAATCAGTGCATGGACGAAAGAAAAACAGCATTTGACCCCACCCACATAATAAGGCTGGCTAACACATCTATCATCGACTCTTGGATTTGGGCCCGTGAGGAGTTTGCATGTTCTCCTTGTTCCCGCATTCCAAAAACGTGCACGTTAGCTTTAGTGAAGACTCTAAATTGCCCATAGGTGTAAATTAGTTTGTGACTTGATGTGACTTTTGATTGACTATTGACTAGTATAGGACGTAGACCACCTTACATCCAAAGTCAGCAGGAACTAGGTTCCATATTCTTATCTTCATTCGGAAAATGTGTGCAATTAATTTAATAATTCTTCTACTTCTGTTCTTCTTCCAGGATTGGGCGTGTGGGACCCAAACAAGAAGCCATGGTCACCGCCGTGTTTACTCCGACCTTGGCTGGCTCCAGCATGCTGCTGGTCAGCTTTGACAGTGACAAACTGAAGAACATTAAGAACACCATCAGTGTTGTGGTGAAGGAACGTGACACTTCACACATATAAGCCTACGCTCTCATTTTCAAACACTTGGAATGACATACCGGAATGCATTGTCAGACACAGGGAAGGGCGGGGGGTCTTATTGCTTCCTTTTATTTGATCTACCCTTATATGTTGCAATACACAACACAGGTTGACTCGCTGCTATATATCTCATTGATTTGTTACTATGAATTGATCATGTTTAGTGATTTTATAGTCTGCAGCAAAAATAGCTACCAGTTAAGTTGAACAATTGATTATATTGAATTGTACTTGTTTGACGAAATAAATGACAACTAAATCCATCTGTGTTCTAAAGCGCCTGTCTTCATGATAATCGTGGGTAAACTAGAGCCTATTGACATTGGGTGAGAGGTGCTGGTCACCAACGGAGCACAACGAAAAGGCAGTGATAATGGGGTTGTGTAAGCGTCGCATGCTCAAGAGCGTGTATGTGCAAGTCTCTGTCCCATCTGGCACGCCAAAACATATTGTCTCGTCGTCATGGACACAGCCTCGAATCGCATAATCACGAACACCAAGGAGAGGACAAGGAGGATTTCAGTCAAGCTTGAGTCTTTTTCCTACAGCTCTGAATGGACAGCAGTTGGATGAATTGGTGAGCGATTCTTCAAGACGAGACAGCAACTTCTCCACATTGGTAAACGATAGGTGAAGTGTCTCAGAAGTCACATCCAACTTGCGATTGAGCTCACTTGTCGCCTGAGTTTGAGTGTTGATAGCTTGCAGCAGCCCACCAAACATCACCGACAGCTTGCTCATTTCTAATAAAGCTGCTCACGTCTTCTGAATTTTGTGATGAATCATGAACCCGCCAGCTCCAAATAGCATCAGAATTCTAATAATGTATGCGTCTTCCACATCTTCTTCCATTTATTCCAGGAATCCAACATATACCCAGCAGTGAATGTACTATCCGGAAAAAAAACAGCTTCTCCCTTTCTTTGCTCTTCTGGTTGAGAAAATGTTGTTGATTGTGTTGAGAGACCAGCTGACCAATTTCGTGGTTTGATATTCGGGAGAAGATGCAGCGGAAGGCTGGGATGCTAGTTGAAAGATAGAAGTCTGTATTCAAGACCAAGTCAGCAGGCAGTGAGAGAGATAAGTGCGGGTGAGCGGCAGAGTAGAACGCGTCCACCTTTGTGGGGAGAGAAGCAGAAAAAGCTTCACTCAGATGTAAGTAATGTTATCTATTGCCTTCCATGCCTTTTTTTATTGCTTGTTTACTAAGATTTAGCACATTTCATTGTTTTTTTTTTAAGTCGTTTCTTAAGGGTTGTGAATCTCTCCAATAAAAGACGATTCCACACAGAAATATATGGGGTATGATACGAATCAAGTATGGTACATTTTCAAGTGGAACGATTCCATTTGGTTAATTTCAGTGGGATTCGATAATGTACAGCTGCATCTTTTGTCATATTTATTAATGTGTAAGATGTGGTAGCGCTCCAAAGCCCAAACTATTTCGAACGATTCAATTGATATCTGGATACATGTATTGTGATACGCTTCAAAGACAGTACATGTTACGATTCGATTTGATTGAATCAAAACCAATTTTCCGATTCAAATTTTTTAACTCCACGGTGCTTCTTCCCTGGAGCCCCCACGCCAGCGGTGTAGAAACACCCTTGGTTGCGCGCACTTCTAACCTCGAAACCTCTGCTTTACCATCGTAAACCGAGGACCATCGCACGTATTGCTTCATCCGCAGTGGAGTCGAATGGGGTGCTTCACCGTGCCGCGGGGGAAGCCGTCACGGTGACGTGCCTGAGGGCAGAGAGGCGGACCCGGTTGTGCAGCAGCCGCCGAGCAGCGTGTCTCCACCAACACGATGAAACATGGATGAGGAGGTCACGGAAAGTTGGGAGGAAGCGGCTGATAACGGGGTAAAGCAACACCAGACTAACATTAATTTGTTCGCCACCGCCTTGGTAGTGATTTGAATTCGGCTTCGTCGCGGGACATTCTTGGAAAGCTTGTTGTGTGTCCCGAGTGCCGCGGGCCAACAATGTGGCTCTTGCTAGCGCGTTAGCTTCGGCAAAGTTAGCGAGCTAAAGCCAGGCGACTCACGAGTTAGCTCGGCTGAATCAAAGTGAGCTCGATAAGCGAGTGCGTTATTCTGTAAGGACTAGTTAGTACCTAATCTCCAAGCGGCCCGTTTATCGTGTAGGCCTGTTCCGGTGACAAAGTTTCAGTTTTTTTTTCACTTCAGCTAACGCTGCTGTGGCTGGCATGCAACCGGCTCGTGTCAGTGTTACGGTTCAACTGGCTTCCGGCTTACTTTCTGGATACGCTTCTGACAGATACCGCTTCTAATTCAACTCACGTATTTGTGGTACACGCACAGAACGAAGGCTTCATAATTATAATTAACACGATGTCGACGCACCGCACACTCAATTGGCCGTTTAGCTCCGATTTGTTCAGCGCGGGTTCCAACTTTTCACGATAGCTAATTCAATATGTTGGTATTAACGGCCTGTCTTTTTTTAAGTTCCTTTTCAAATAGCTCAATTTCACAAGTTTGACGGCGGAGAGTGGAGACAATGTTCTGCCGGCAAACTGTTTGGGAAGTAGCCAAGTTAGCCCATTTAACGACAGTGCTGAGTGATCAAGTTTGCAGGCAAAGTTAGCTTAGCGCCAGACGATGACGTCACCACCGCGGCCCGAGAAGGCGCTGTTTGTCGGAAGTGGCTAGCCAGCCAGCGGCGCTGTGCTTCACGTCATAATTCCTCACATATCCTAATTGTCATTGAAGAAAATAACAACTCCCTCCCTAATGACGGCATATTGTGGCTAATGTTAGCGAGCTGACCGCTTTCATACCGTGACTTGACAGCTGCCCCCGTGTAATGTATAAATAGCTTGTAACTCAACCCTGTTTTCCTTCCACTCCAGGACTTGCTCTCTATCCTTCACACACTAACTTAATTTCTTTTCTCCCTGCCATCAAAATCCGCATTGGACTAATTTGTTTACATTAATTAATGTTTGCATTTCCCTTCCGCAGGAAATGGAAAAGCGGTTAGAGGAGAAACTAAGAATCAGCCAAAGAGAAAAGTAAGACGATAAAACTGCATTTATTTGTTGAGGTTGTTTTAAAGTGACATAAATATCATGTCCCGCCATTTCTTAAAGTGTATCTTGGCAGGGCCCAGAGATGTGCCCTGAAAATAAAATCTCTAGTTTTATTTTTCACAAAAATATGTCCATTTGTTGCCTGCTTGCTGCAAGTTTTCCTTGCAGTAATGTTTTATGTTGCCCCACTAGTCAATATACATTTGTCTATTGTCGCTATTCAAAATACTTTACTGTGTGCTGCTGTAAGACCTGAATTCCCCTGCTGGAGATCATAAAAGAGTTGTCTTTTCTTAACATGCCTTGTGAAGACCTCATCAGTTTTACCTTGCCCGCTGTCGTTTCCAGAGAGTCAAGTAACCACCATTGTTCTTCGCACTCGCCACTGAAGACAGCCATGGTGATCCAGGACGACTGTCTACCGGCAGCGCCGCCACCTCAGATTCGCATCTTGAAGCGGCCCGCGAACAACGGGTCGCTGGGGTCCCCCTTGAACCAGAACAGGCCCACGCCCCAGGTCAAGTCCCTGGCACAGCGCGAGGCGGAGTATGCTGAGGCTCGCAAGAGAATTTTGGGGAGCGCCTGTCCGGAGGAGACGGCCCAGGATAAGAACGCCTCAGACAGGTAAATCTTGTTTAGACACTAATCTCTTGATGTCTTGCTCTACTGCAAAGACTTATGTTAACCACAACAAGATTAATATAATAATTGAAGTTATTTAACAACTTCAATCTGCTGACTATGGGTGAAAATGAATTCCAAAATTGGGCTTTGGAGTGAAAATGGTTGGCAACCACTTTCTGGCCTACTCATGCCATTTACAATCGCTACTCCCACAATATGCTGAACCAAACATGGAAATGTTTACCTCCTGTTGTGTGTTTTTCCTCCAGGACCAGTCGCATCAACTCTACGTTGCCTTCAGAGGACACCAGATCCAACAATCACACGATCCGACAGCCAAACAGCCCCGACGGCACCCAAGGTTTCCGACAGCACAGATAAATTGGACCTAGGGGCCACCGTAAGGAGAGTGAGCCTTTTTTGGGCGAGTGGGAGGGGGGCAGACAAGAAGCACTACATTGCCCCAAACTTTCTTCCCACTTCCTCTACAGGAAGAGCATTCGCCCTCCCCCAGGCCCTCCCTCCTTCCATCTCGACACTGTGACAATGAACACCTGGACTCACTGTGACGATCTCTTTATAAGGAACGCCTCACTCCTCCTCTCCAAGCAAAGACTAGCAAAGAGGAGGTGCAGTGAGGTGATGGCCATGCCCCAGCAATAATAGTCAAAACGTCACTTTATAGTTGTCATTTTTAAATCTTTCACGGTGGGCTCACCAACTTTTTACCTTTTGCTTTTTTTCCTCAGATTTGGGATTATTACAACGGTTTCTCCGCTTGGTCATTTTTACATAAATCATTTGTAAAGAGGACCTGCCAGCTTAGCCCTCGCGATACATAAACCATGTGAAATATAGCCATTGTTTTGGGGATGCAAAATTGATCATCTCATGGTGTCGCAGCGTGGCTTTATCAGTGCGCTCCTTACCAGCATGTTGCCATTTATTTTGAACCATTTTATTTCTGCTTGATTTTGTTTTTGTGTTGCCGGCCTTTCTCCACAGGTTATCACGTCGTTCTGTTTTAAAAGTAAGCGCCTTGAGTAAAGTAAGCGGGCTTGGCGTTGACTTTTTTTAAGGAGCTTTTCTGCCTTTTAAATATACCAGACGGCAGTCACGCCAGAAGTATTTTAACCCAAGAACAAAGATGGGAATCAGGTTACCCAGCATACTTTGTACATAAAGCATGAGTTTCCTTTCCTTTTAGCAAGCTTGGCCATGTCTTCTCCAGCGCAACACGTAGGAAGTGAACTCTTTCAAATGCTTACAGTATGAATCAATTAAAAAGGATTTTATTTCCTTTTTTTTTTTTTCTTTTTCATGAACTTATGCAAACATGATGGCTGTTGTCTGTTTGAAATGTTTGACTCCTTGTGCAAAAGGTCACGGCTGGAATTCTGACACTGCTATGAATGAGGAGGATATATGATTCGAACATGATCCAGAGAGCAGAAAGCAAGTCACCATTTAGCCCAGAAATGATGTTTCATGTTGTTTACCCTACCCGCGTTTCAGTTTTTTTTTTGTCACGTAGACTTCAAGAAAGCCATATTTTGTGGTACAAGCCATTGATGGAAAGGTTCAATTCCACCTGTATCTTTCTTTTACTTCCTGGGGGTGCAAGTGGAGAGTGTGAGCGAAAACAGCCTATGGAATGCCTAGCGAAAGTGCAGACTGTAAATAAACAGATTTAATAAAATGACTTACCAAAAAAAAATGTTTTAAACCGCAAGCTGTGCTTCATTAACGTCTGCAAAAAATAAACACAGGCCTCAGTCATGTAATAAAACAATCACTTTATTAGACTTTTGTAGTCCTATACTATATGTTGACAGTGTTTGTATGTCAGGGGAATGAGACGCTAATTTATGCCGATGGCTGTGTACTCTGAGGAATACAGTGTTTGGTTCAGGGGCGGCCACGATGGGACAGAGGGGTCACAAAGGAGTGAATTGAGATGTTTGAACTTTTTCTTGGATGGATGCTTTGGGCAGAGGCAGCAAAGATATTTCAGGGCACCAACATCAATCAGCAGCTGCAAAACAAATAAAAAGAAGACAACGAGCATATTTTGTCAGTCCCATCCAAATATGATGAGTTAAAAATCAATAAAATGAGCCAAAGATAATAAGCAGCCACTGTATTATAGTGAACATGCATATTTTGTTAGTTTGCAATTCACAAATTAACCCCTTAGGTTTTTTTTTCGTTTTTTTTTTTTCCTTCTGTGGAACAGACCCCAAGCAAATTGCTGGAAAACAAGAACAAGAACATCTTTATGTCAGGGGGGTGGCCAGGGTTAGTGGAGACGATATGTATGTTTTTGCTCTACTGAGTGGCTGTTAAAAATCTCAAGAGAGCAAACGACAGATGCCTTGTTAATAATTCACAGTCGCTATTTTGATGTGTTGCAAAGGCAACATGCTTGCATATTTCACAAAACCAAATGACCGGAACACATAAGTTGTTTATTTTTTAGGGTAATGTGAAATGAGTTACAACTGGTTTCACAAACCAATCATTTTGGCAACATTTTAAATACTCAGAAATTTTTAAAGATGTTCAGCACGTAAACGGTTTAATTTCAATGAGCTACACTTCAGTTTAAGACACTCCCTTGTACAAATGCCTGGCACAACAAAGGAGCAGTTTCTTTCTATCCTTTTGTATTAAGCTTAAGAATCCAGTTTCCTCAATTCAACCTTTGAAGATCTACAAAAAACGCACTCCCCATTTATTTTTAACACAGCAAATGAAATGATACTTATATTTCAAAATCCAGGTGGGAACACTGGAGTAAAAAAAAAAAAAAAAACACATTCCGGACTACACAGTCTGAGCAGATGCAGAGTTTCTTAATGGGAAAAGAAAATGTTGAAAAATAGCGGTGCTTCCACTTTCCTGTTCACACTCACCTCCACTACAAAACAAATGAGGAAATTGAGAGCAGCCAGAGCGACAAGCAGCATCTTGAAATTCAAGTCAGTGAAGTCATAAAGCTGCATTATCTTTCTGAAGAAAGGTCC